AGTCCCACCTCAGGCATATTTGTGTTGTGTGTTTCTCTGCATGTTTGTGTCTACTCCATTATTCATCACCATCATCATCATCATCATCATCATCATCGTCGTTGTCACAATTTAACCCGACTCACAGGACTATCTAAGCTGGGGTGTAAAAATAGAATAGAAGAGTGACGTGCACCTACACCGATAATAAAGTCACAACTCGGGTGGGATGCACGTGTCGCGTAGGCCCGTCATTACTGATTCGCAAAAATAATAATAATAATAATAATAATAATAATAATAATAATAATAATAATAATAATAATAATAATAATAATAATTGCTGCGACATCAAAATGCTTCGTTCTACATTCGCGGGGGTAGGAGACCTCGAGTTTCTTTGCTGGACTTTCTAAAATCCGCCTTCTATGATACTGGCAATAGAGAATTCTGAAAATGGAAGCAAGTAAAACTCTCATCACACGTCGGCGTAAGAACATGATTTTCCAACACTAAGTATTCCAAGAAAAATACGTCATCGGCCCTTGGAGTTCGCAATCACATTATTTCATTAATTCATTTCATTAATAAAGTTTCGATAAAGAACCGAGCATCCATAAAATAATGGCGTTGAGATGTGCAACAATGTCTCCCGCTTCATTTGCGGCGCGATCCACCACAGCTGGTCCAATGGTTGATTTAAATAATGCGTAATATCGGTGTCTTGTTGGAAATTGCCTCACGTTTCGCAATAATCTAGCTTGGCAATTCGGGTGCTGCACTATGCTAATCACGTTGCGAGATTGTTAGTGATTTCGGAAGCGTCAACTGCTAAGGTCATTAAGTGTAGGGTATAAATTTTTCTTCGGGAGTTCGCAGTGATCTTCCCCCGCTGGATGGCGAGATCCGGCGCCGACCTACGGGTCGGCTAGCGGGTCTTTTCCTCAAAACAAGTGTCTCCCACCAGCGGGGCGCCGTCGCAGCTGGGACAAGCTCTAAGCTCCCGACCGGTCTCCCGTTATGTGGGATAGTGAAGTGTGCGAAAGTGGTAGGATAGGACAAGACGTGGGAAGGAAAGATCGGGCGCGGTCCGTGGCCCGTTTGTTAGGGCACTGCTCCGGCATTCGCCTGGTGTTGATCGGAGAAACGACGGAAAACTACCGATCAGAGCAGTCGGCGGCTCAATTCGTTGTAGCTAACAAGCTAGTGCCGAAAATTCTGCCACCGTCTGGACTCGAACCTTAGGACCTACCGGTCAGAGGTACTGCAGTGACGCCTTGTTGATGTCTCAGTTGATGCCTTTAGCCATCTCTCTCCTGGTTCCAGCTAGTTAATATTAGTGTTCGAACTATTATCCGTTCATCTTAAGAAAAAGCCTGATGTAAACAAATTGAAGAAATCTTTTCGCCGAACTACGCTTCTGATTGGACAACTCCTAGCAATCTACTTTTGATTACGCGAGTAGCTTACCCCGTCAATTTAAAATGAATAAGAGCGGTCATGCAAATGTCATGCTCATGCAACTATTGTACTTACAATCATTCTGCTTCAGGAAAAGGTTGTCAATTACTTGCATATATTGGTTGCCCTAAAATTCGGAAGATCTTGATCACAAGCTGCAACAATTTCCCAAAGCGTTGGTGTTTCGTTTCTGCACTTTTGATGCAAGGAATGCCCGTTCGGTCGAACAACACTGAAAACAGTCATCCTTCAATCAGATTCTTCTTTCTTTTCTTCTCTGACATTTGTAGTTGTCCCTTGTCAAAGAGCTCGTTCCAGAGTTTCAATACGCTGGACACGGATATTCCTGTGAACTCTGCGATTTGTTTCATCGGTAACGACGGATTCCCATGCAATAACGAATTGAACTTGTGTTTAATTATTACTGAAGGGCGAGCCACACTCTGACATTCTAAAGCGAACTGAATAGCAGAGTCTTGCAAGTTGATCGGCGGCACCAGAGTCTCTTCCCACGCGTCCGACCCGTGTCGATCGACACATTCGTGGGCTGAACTGCCAGAGACTCGTAACCTTATCGCCGAGCAACACACATCCAGTTCACGATGGTCTTCTTTCTCGAAAACGTTGCATTAGTTTTGACGCAAGGTTAATTTAACGAACGATCTCTGATAAATTAGTTCTTATATAGAGAACTATTTTCTTTCGCGCCAGAATCTCTACAAAAGGAGAGCTCACACTGCAAACCAATGAGAACCATCCTAACACACGTGCATTTGTTTTCATCAGGATTTTTCTTCGGCTGACCGGATATGTTACTTCTGATGCATGGATAAATGAATTGAAGGAAGAGGGAATGTTTTATTTGAAATAAGGCCCTCCCTGGGATAAACTGCCTCAGGTTCCTGGTTTTCTCTGGGTGCCACTGCCCCAATTTATTTGCCGTATTCGGATGAATTGTGAATATAAGATCGAAACGACAGCTTAAGCTGACCAGAAAGGTTTACCCCCCGTTAATACTAGTGCTCCAACTAGTCAATACGACTGTTTGAACGGACGCGGTGTCGCAGGGGCACGGTGCTGAAGGAGCTGCCGCTGGACGAGGGGCTGGGCACCGTCAACTGGCGCCTGGCGCTGTGCCTGCTCGCCTCGTGGCTGCTGATCCTGGGCGTGGTGGTGCGCGGCGTGCGCTCGTCGGGCAAGGCCGCCTACTTCCTCGCGCTCTTCCCCTACGTGGTGATGCTGGTGCTGTTGGTGCGCGGGTGCACGCTGCCGGGCGCCGACAAGGGCATGCTGTACTTCGTCAAGCCCAAATGGGGGGAGCTGTTGAAGCCTCAGGTAGGTTGCCTTCGGCTCCGGAATACCTACCCCAATTCAGAAGCGTCTAGAAGGGAGCGGGCTACTGGGTTAACTTGCCTCAGCCCCAACTTAATTGGAGCCACGAAATTGTGTTTCATTGAAAAGAAATTAAAAATAGATTTATCTCTAATCTACATTTAACGCTATAAGTTACTTCTGATGCATGGATAAATGAATTCTTTTAATGAATTTAAAGGAATAGGGAATTTTTTATTTGAAATAAGGTCCTCCCTTGGATAAACTGCCTCAGGTCCCTGGTTTTCTGTGGATGTCCCTGTCCTAATTTATTTGCCATAATCGGATTAATTGTGAATATAAGATCGAAACGAACATTATTGACAACTTAAGCTAATAAGAAAGGTTTACCCCCATTAATATAAAATATTTGTACAAAAAAAGCTTCAGAGTTGAATAACACTCCTGTTGATATAACAACCAACCTCTCCTTTCGCATCTAACGAAATGACAGCGCGGGTTATACTATCCCTTGTGGTACAAGTGAATTTGAAAGGTCATAGGAGTGGTGTTCTCTTGCAGGTGTGGCATGCAGCTGTGACGCAAGCCTTCTTCTCCCTCAACGTGGGATTTGGCTCTCTAATCAACTACGCTTCCTTCAATAACTTCCGGCACAACATTTACAGGTATTGCATAGTAGTTTCTTGAATCGTGATTGATTATTTAATTAATTAAAAATAATTTGTAATCGGGCGGATAATTATTTAGACTTGAAGAGAGAAGAAAGATGAGAGATTATGCAAATACTTGATTTTAATGTGTATTAAAATGTGAAGCCAGTTATGCAAAACATTTTCTTATCAAGTCTGCACCGTCACTGCATTAGAGTAATAACATTTCCTTATATTTCTACTGCACACATGATGTAGACTGTAATGTAAATACATGCATCAAAAGAATGAAAAGTAGACATTTGTATGAAAAAAGACGTGTGATAGAGAGAGAGCATAGGTTATACACCGCCGCCACCTCCAAGGCTTGTTCACCATGGCGTGGAAACGAGCGGCATAGAAAACCAAAAACTTAAGTTTTCGAAAGATCGCAGCGGTAAGGAAGCTGAAAAAATGTACAAGATAAGAATACATATCCCTTCTGGAAAAATGTATTGGCAAACCAAAATTCAAAACAACCAAACGTTTCTATTAATGACATTAGTATTTGTCATTTGCTTCCTTTAACATTGGCTGCTATTTTGACGTTGACATGATGTTGACATTTGAGGTTAACGTGATCATGACGTTTGAATCCCGAGCGTACTGACAGCTTCGTCCAAAACTTATTCCTCGGTTCCATTTTGTGTCGTACGAAGCAAAATTAACTTTTGCAACTATGTCCTCCTACCCTTTGTGATGACGAAAAATTTACAATATAATCTCAAGATTGCGGTTTGAGAATTCACTATCTAAACTTTCCCGAAAATATATTCGTCATAAAAGAGAAGCAATGATTACATAACTCTCTTCTATATCTCTCCAATATTTTTCCCTGATTAGTGACGGATCTTGTAAACAATTTATTTATTTATTTTGCAGAGTGTAATTAAAATTTCACTACACACACTTTCCTTAATAGATTGTGCATAACCGTTGGTTTCGAGCCCTTCACGCATGAGAATTCTACAGACTGTTTTTTGATTGACAGAGAGAACGAGAGAGAAGTGAATACAGAGCACTAAAAGGGAGGTTTGCTTCACAGAGACGCCATGATCGTGACGACAATGGACACGTTCACCAGTCTGCTGGCCGGCTGCACCATCTTCGCCATCTTGGGCAACCTGGCGCACGAGATGGGCGTCGACGAGATCGACTCAGTGGTGAAGGCAGCCGGGCTCCGCCTTCAATCTCTACCCCGAGCCATCCGCCAACTGCGACGCCGTCCCGCAGTACATACACACACAAGCACAACACACAACAAAACACACACACTCAACACACCACACACACACACACACACTCACACACACACACACACACACTCACACACACACACACAAACCACACACACAAAACACACACACAAAACACACACTCACACACTCATCAAAAACACACACACTCACACACAAAACCCACACACACAACAAACACACACACACACACCCAGACTCACACAAAACACACACACACACAAAACACACACACACACAAAACACACACATCACTACACACACAAAACACCACACCACACTCACACACAAACACACACACACACTCACAACAAAACACACACACTCACACATAAAACACACACACACTCACACACAAAACAAACACACACACAAAAAACACACACCCACCCACACAAAACACACACACACTCACACACAAAAACACACACACACTCACACACAAAACACACACACACACACACAAAACACACACACACATCACACAAAACACACACACACTCACAACACACACAAAACACGCAGTCGTGTGCGAAGTCAACAACACCTCGTTCTTCAAAATGAAACACGTTTCATAATTTGAATTTCAGTTCATTCTCTTCGGGATTGAATACACGCACAGACACAGAAAATCAAATTAAAATTATCATTTTTCTTGTAAGAAAACCATTGTCCAAAAATGTTTTGATAGAAGAATCCATTTATTAACAGTGGTTAAATTGCAATGCAGTGGGAGATACTTGGTTGAGGGAAAGCCCCACTGGCTTCTAGGTCGGCGCCAGATTTCAGAATCCAGACCGGGCATTTCGCCGCCAACTCCCTAGGAAACAAGGGAAAAACGAACTTAGCTGTTGCTGCACCCAAAAACACTGATCAATCAATCATCTCCAATCAGTCAGTCAATCAAATGGCGCCAACAGTGGAGGGCGCAGCCTAGACCACGCGCGTCGTGCGTGCGTACGAGAATGAAATGAAGGTGAGCCTGGGCATTGCGCTCTGTCGTCGACAGCTGTTCGCGTTCTGTTCTTTCTGATGCTGCTGTCGCTGGGGCTGGGGCTCGGCGGTGGCGCTGGTGAGCGTCGTCGTCACGCATCATCACCGACAACTTCCCGCAGCTGAAACAATTCGTTGTGATGATTGTCGTGTGCGTCGTCAGCTTCGGCATTCTATCGTCCACGTCACGCCAGGTGAGCCGAACAGCAGTCCAGCCTAGTTTTACTACGAGCAAAATCACTTGCTTAGAGCCCCTGTTTCATGGAGGAGGAGGCGCTCCCGGAAAAATAATATCAAAAAAGTTCACCAAAAATGTTTGTAATACCGTAAAATAATTAGTAATGTTAATCAAATATTTTTTTAAATTCCTATAAAAATTTGTTTATTTTTACTTGCATCTGAAGAAAGCTATTCTAATTATAATTAGTTTTTTTTAAGAAATATGGGGGATTTTTTCCGGGAAGGAGAGCCTAACAGTATTCTGTTTCGGGCCCTACTGTGTCTAAATCCGACTTAATGCCTCTGTACTGCAGAAAACTTCACGTGAATCGCGTAGAGAAAAAAAATATCCATTATGAGCTTGAGCTAAAATGTTGACGGACATCGGTGCCTGACAATGGCTCATAGGGCCGCCGTGCATTCATTTATCGTTGATGTGCTTCGAGCAAGTCAAGGCACACGTACAGTTGAGGATCAAGTCAAGGAATATGTATTTATTATCATTGTTTCTTTTAATTGCCCGAAGGACACGTACTTAGATTAATGTACTTTCAGCATAACCTGTCGCGAACAATTTTCTGATAACTTCCTATTCGATAGTTGGGTAAATACTTTGACTAAAGCGCCTGTTTTAACACGGTCATGTTTTGCATCCCTTTTTCATATTTTTCGTACAGGAAAGTGCGGATGTGAATAAAGGACGTCTGTTCTACGCGTTATGCTTTCGGTGCCGAAACTGGATGAAGCCAGAGTATTTACCATGTTAATGATCATTTCTGGTCTTTTGTACGTTATGGGATGAAAAATATTCCTCTGGCGCTACAAAAATGCGCTGAAAATCAATATTTGAACATTGCATCTATGGTAGAGCAAAATTAAGTCTTTAAGAAGTTAATCTATGGTAACAAATTCGTCAGCTCTTGGTACAAACTTCCCGAAAAGTGTCTCTTGTACTCCTACTGTTTTTTATACCAGCTCGCACAGAGGCGGGACGTACGGACGTCCTGGTCGTCAACAACAGTGAATGAGGACAAGCTGGACAACGAAGCCGTGTATATGGCGCTTACTTAATTCCTCCATTGTTTATTCGTTCTAGCGGTGGCCAATCGTATCTGAAACCAGCGTGATCGACCATTTGGTCCCGTATCCCGTCCTGGCCTCAGGCGGAATGGGAGCCCAAGCTGGCTTAACGGTAGTATGGTACCGTTAGTAACCGTTAAAGTGTTACAAAGCCTTATTGAAAAACATAGACAAATGTATAAGTATGTATTATTTGTTGTCTAAGAACTTTTGGATTAGGAAACGGTCAGGGCTAGCAGCCATTTGTACCAGTGTCTGCAGATCACACTTCGTAAGCAAAAAGTCGTAGGCAATGAACAAACGATCAATCTGTCTAAAAATTCCTTCTGCTATTAAATCAACTAAGATTATCAAACTTTCCAACGTCTCCTTCATTTTCTAAGCCTGATTGCAAATCTTTGCTCCTCCCAATCCATACTGCCCATCGAGCCCTCCATCGGCTGAGATGACTCAGTGACTTGCAGCTGCAACGTCCAAGACTAGGACATCTTAGATTGGCAAATTTTCTGTACTAGAGAGTTCGGTCAAACTCTGCAACTGCTGAGAAAAGTTCTAGCGCCTGGCTCCTCTGAAGTGTAGTTTTCTGTGGTTTCTCCACTCAATACCAGACGAATACAGGAGAAAATGTGTCTTCAGTAATGTTGTACGAGGGGTTCCAATAATTTTAAAACTTTTTCAATTTTGTAAAGTTGAGGAGTGATAGTGATAATCGGACCTACTCCATTTTTATAAATGTATTTCAGTCTATTCTTACAAGAAATTAAAAGAAAAAAATGGTTTTGAAAAATAACAGGGGTTCATGTAAACTACCTCAAAAATGTAAAGAATTATTTTCAATCGCAAGGCTTTGAGTCGGACCAGATCGATCGGTATTTATTTTGCCAAAAATCCTATGACTACTTTAGGCGCTACAAGTAGTTGTTAATGGGCAGACAGACGGACGGGCGAATGGACGGTGACGGTCGTTTTGAAAAAAAGCAATTCCAATATCGAAAATTTAAAATGTCGAAATCTATTTTCCGCAACATTACATAACTATCCATTCCATCGCACCCCCCAGTGCCGGTGTCACATATGTGTATGAATTAACAACGTACAGGTAATTTCGATGAGTGGAAGCGTGCAGTATTCCATCACAGGAAACGTTTGAAGACTCGTCCGAAACCATAATTAAACGTAGCATCATCATCAATAAATAATTCAGCTTTATTTACAGCTCAAACTGCTATGCACATCATTACAAAAATTATTTTTCAAAACTCCACCCCTCCCTTATACATTCATCTCTAATTCATCGATTTTTTCTTCTTCATTTGCACAACTTCCCGTTCACATTCACATCTCTTACATCTCCCCACCTTTCTATATTAAACTAAATCATCATTCAATTTACTACATTCTTCTCACTAATGTCTTCCAATCCAACTTTTTCCTCCTTCTTCCCCTCTTAGTTTCTACATCCTCAACAACATTTCTCCCTCTCCACCTACATCGCCACATAATATTTCTCTAACTCTCTGTGTAACCTCCTCATTCATTACTCATTCTCCAATTTCTCCCGCATTCTCAATCACTTGTTCCCATGTCTCTTACTCCTCCTTTACAAATCCTACATCTCCCGTCTTCTTCTTTCCTCTAGTAGAATGTCCTTATAATCTTCTCTAAACTTCGCTGTACTATTTGTGCTATCCTCGTTCTCTACCCCTTTCCCGCGACATTTACGAATTCCGTACTCGAGTGAGACTTCCGTACTCGGGTCCTCTTTACCACAATACGACGATTCGTAAATCAGCTAGTATCAATTATTATACAAAATTAAATATAAATCAAAGAAACACATTTAGAAAGGTATAAACACACTTATCATGAGCAAATCTCTTAAATTAGGGAGTTTGTGCACCCTCGAAAGTTAAAGCACTATCGATCTTTTGCACTTGAGCAGTTCAAGTGTTACATCAGTATAGTTCATCTGCTCACGCGCAGAAGATGGATAGTGCTGTCCACTATGGTGTGCACAAACTTTCTTCTATATTTAAGGAAGAAACTGTAGTAACTGTCATTATGTACTTGACAATTCATAATATGTACTCTCTTTAGCATTTGCTGCACCATCACTAGAATGACATCTGTATTCCGTGGATTTCTGTACTTTGCTTTACTAACATTATTAGGTTGATTATAGGTCGATATTATTTGGTCGTTTTCGAATACATGCATACGAGAAAGTAAGAGAAACAGCCACAAACCACGCGAAATACTCTCTTCCTCATCATTGTCCCTTCCTCTCCCCTTACTCCCACACATACACTTGCATGCACGACACCACCACATATGACATTTTCTAGGTTTTCTTTCTCCTTCTGTGGTTCAATCTTATCCGAGACTACCAATGTTATAAGTTACCTTTCTTCAAATTTTTAAGAAACATCCATAGTAATGTGGAGGTTCTTATTTTACCAATAATAGTTAAATGGGGAGAAAAATTGAAATATCCAAACGTCAACTTTTTATACGTGTATTTCTCGTCTGCCTTTTAATACATCTACATCCCATCTGTACATCAATACGTCAACATTCAGTCTGTCCCATCTGTACTTCGATACATCCAACTCTTTCAATACATCTTCATTCCATCTATACTTCGATACATCTACTTCTCTTCTGTACTTCGAGACGTCCAACTTTCCTCTGGTTGTTGATTTTGCTCTTCATACTTTGGCCGTCTTTATAATCCAAAACCACTGCCAACCTTTGCTTTCATCCCAAGTAGACCTTGCATATACAAGTATATATCTTCTTAATGTTAGTATGTTCGAAATACAACATTAAATTTCGGCTCGTTACAGTAATACAGTTGAAGGACTGAATTCGTGTTAGACTCTCGTGCACCTCTACTGATCGCAGACGAGAGGGCGAAGCCGCATCGGCATTCGCCTAGAAATTATTCGAGTCCAAAAAAGGCAACATTCACAGGGTCATACCATAGCGCCAATCTGACGCTTGGAAAGTACGCCTTACCGATGCAACCTGCACACCTCGAAAAGGCTCAACAACAAAAGAGGAGGGGGCGGGCACTTACGCAGTGTCGACTGATGGGTTGCGAACCAGGAGGAAAGGCATATATGTCCGAATTATCACAAACATTTTACCCCTAAAAATATTTCTTGGACGAGGAAAAATAAACGATATACGAGCTGCTGTACTGTATAACAGATTTGCACGCATCGGGATTTTAATTCTTTTCTAAGACAACTTGTACGTTAATGACGGGAGATAAAATTGTGCTCACATGAAAATAAGAGATGTTTTAAAAAATATTATCAGTACGTAAATCAATAATACATGAAATCAGATCGGACACTGCTGAACACAGCCCAGCTCGCTGCCCCCCACCCAACTCCTAGTACCCCAACTCTTCTTCAAGCTTTCATTGCCTCCCATGCACCAACTTCGGACGGACTCCCGATAGACCACGATGCGGTCCATTCTAAAAATATTTATCTTTAGCTTAAGCGAGCACATAAAAATAAATTCGTTCTCAAAAATTGCGCTGGTGGCATGCACAAATTAAACGAGTCGATTTATTGCAAGTATAGTAATTTCTGTAACTTTTCCTTAGATCTTTTTTTCTGGGGAGAGCGCCGTATAGGTCATTTCCTGGGGCCATGGAAATTCATTCAATAACATTTTTTTGTATTTTATTTTTTATAAATTGTCATAATTTTCTCTTTAAATTGGCGTTTGAATTATGTTGATATTCCTTTTACAACTATTTTTTAAATATTTATATGCGAAGTCGTCCTCTCATTGGGTTGGCTACTTTTAGATAATGTTTCACAATGCAGCGCATAAATACTGAAAGTCTTGGTCATGCAGAAAATATATTGAAAACTTTGTTTTGAATTTACTTGAACTTATTTGAAACCAACATAAAACAAGTCTCTAAAAAAGGAAGTAGTTATTTGAAATTTTTTATTCTGATGAGACAAGTTATTGAGCTGGCGTGTTCGGAGGGTTAAATCTTTAAAGCCCATTTCCCGAAAGTTGGTATTTTTATCACTAAATTGTCTTTTTATCTATTTATATTTGAAATAGTATACTGAAAATTGTAGTTGTTAATAGAGGTCTCCTACATTTACTGAAACATTTTTATTTTTATCTTAGTATTATCCATTCCGCAAAACTTTATTTACTATAAAACTCGGTAAAAAATTTGCTTTATGATAAAATATTTATATACAAAAAATTAGTACACATTGTTCTTCAGCGTTATTATAATAGGTATATGTGTAACCTATAAAATTTCATAAGCCTAACATCAATAGATTATAAAAATGAGATTCAACCGTTTAAGGGCAGTTCGTGTTTCCTTACTGAGCAGCCTCCATTGCGCCTACGTTGTTTTCGACGAACCTCCCCCTTCACCCGTGTCTCTCCGACGCAGGTTTGGACAACATCTGCAACGACCTGGCGTTCATGCTGAAGCGGAAGGCGGGCTCCTATTGGCGCATTACGTGGGGCCTCGTCACGCCCATCTTCCTCATCGCAGTGCTGATCTACGCCGCCGTGGAAGACGAGCCGCTGGAGTATGGCCAGGAGACCTACCCCGATCACTACTACGGTGCGTTCCGCGCTACACTCGGTTCCTTCTAGATGTACAGGTTCCGTTCAAATACCACGAACTGTTAGGTAGATTAGATATTTATTAGTTTTGCAGGTAGATTTATGCAACCTGGTGGCGGAACACCACTATTTACAAACATTAAAATTAATAATATTAATAGAATATAACTTTAAATTATTTTAAAGTAGTAATAATAATAGTAATGATAGTAATAATAATAAAAATAATAATAGTAATAATAATAAAAATAATAATAATAATAATAATAATAATAATAGTGTTAACTCTACGTTTTATGGATTTCCTCTACAGATAATTTAAACTAATAAATACATGGATATTTTTAACCAATAAATAAATGACTTTTTAACTACACTCCATTTCACGTCACAACACTTGCACTTCACACTCATGATATGTCTTTCAAAAATAGCTTTTGTTGAAGTATCAGAGATACAGAGAAGTGTCGATCTCAAAACCTCTCAAGCGTCTACTACTTGAAGCGTGAAGTGATCATCCTCTCAAAATCGTTAAACGCGATGAAAGATATCTCGTTTATTTTTCACCAAATTATTGATTAATCTCCATTATAATGTATTGATATTCAAACATATATAAAGGTAGAGCTGAATGTAGTAATAACGCAGTGAAAACAGCTTGACGAGTAAAAACGTGTAAATATATATTTTGTTATATGACCACATATACTTGTTATACGATTTCATCAATATACAATCTATAACCACAGTTGCTTTTTAATGAATTAGTTGTTAATGGTGAGGGATAATAATGCAGCCAGTTCCGAAACATGCATTAAATTATTAAGTGAAGGTGTACTAGCAAAAATACTTGTCTAAAATACACTTCTTAGCAAACTTTCAATGGACATATTGTGTCAAAATAACTGTTTCATTTATTGTTAAATTGCCACTTACTACTACAAAATTATTAAATCGAAAGTGGTTGATAAGGGAATAGTCAAATCTCTTCGTAACAGGCCTAATTCGAGATGAGAGAATGATGTTCATCATTCCATTTATGTTGCAGTTGTGGGCTGGACCATGATGGCCTTGATAGTGGCGCTGGTCCCCATCTTCATTTGCATCGAAGTGGGAGATCGATGGCTGAATAAGAAGATGCCTTTTATCAAGGTGAGTATTCACGATTCAAGCTTACTTAAAACGTTTTGCTAAAATACTTCTACCTGCATTCACAAAGGTAATTGTAATATCTAAACGCAGGAGTCAGGGTAGACTTAGCATTTGTGGAATCTTAATAAGATTACAGTTCACTTTTTTTACGATAGTAACTCTCTGTACATAGAGTAGCTCATATATTTCTCAGATGAATGTGCGTTGGCCACAAAAAGTGTGCACCTTGCGTGATTTTGATAATTTAAGAACAATAGGTTAACAAGTTTCACTGACTCTTAAAGACAAACGTGTCTACTCTCGGAATCATTGAGGCCTAAGTTGTTCGGGAGACACAGCGTGCTAGGCAGTGCTGCCAACCTTTTGACCACCACACTGACATCTTTAGCACGATTACATAAATTTTACACCTATTACAAGTGAATAGTTCTGAGAAAATTAAAATGCGCCGTACAGATCGAGACACCTTGTTGGTTTGCTTTAAAGATTGTGCGATTGGGCTTCGACGATTTTCAGAGCACTATTACCTGTTCACTGAATTCAATAATATCCAGGTGATTCAAAATTGTTTCTTACCCGCGAAATGGGACTTCCTGTAATCGATGTGAGGGTATTATAGCAAAAAGAAACTTGAAAATCGAATTATGTGAAATTATCAAAGAAATATTAAAGTGATAATGGCCGGTGGTTTATGGCACAGTAGAATCCGTTGACAATATTCACAAGCTTAATTTCGTCATTTTAATTGCATAATTTAAGAAAATTTTACGTGGTGAGGGGCATACCTATGCACCACAGAGGGTTCTTCGTCTCTAAACTCATGTTGTGGGGATGCGCGGAAGCAAGCAAATTTTGCTTTGTGAGTGGAGGTGGGACTATTCGCTCAATCACATAAGCGTATTCAAAATGTTACGAACGTTTCGAGAACTAATTGTCTCAGTCCGTTGATCAGATCCGTAGGTGATATACCGAAATGTGTGGTAAGGACTATTCGCTCAATCAAATATGCGTATACGAAATGCTACGGACATTTCGAAAACTAAGTTCACCTTAGTCCGTTGATCAGATCCGTAGGCAATTCATCGAAATGAGTGGTGGTGACTATTCGCTCAATCTAATAAGCGAATACGAAATGCTACGGACGTTTCGAGAACTTAGATCGCCTCAGTCCGTTGATCAGATTCATAGGCAATTCATCGAAATATGTGGTAGGGACTATTCGCTCAATCAAAGAAGGGTAAACGAAATGTTACAGACGTTTCGGAAAATTAGATCACCTCAGTCCGTTGATCATATCCGTAAGGCGATACACCGACACTCAGCAACTGGCACGTGGTGAGACGTGGACGCGATTCCCAGAAATCGCGTACGGCCTTGGAGAAGCACGTGTGAGAGTAATCTTTTGTGACCCGTGCGTCCGTTCAGGCTTGGAAGCGCTTGAGAGCGCTGGTTCTCGGAGTGAACTAGAACGAATGACTGAGAATAACCTCTTTGGTAGCTAAAAATGCGTACTGAAATGCCCTTTCACAGTATTGGTGCTAAAACAGCGCGTACTTTCTCGCCCGTACTGTGAAGAAAAGTTCTCAAATTTTCGAAATATTGTACATGACTTTATTTAAAAACCTGGTTTTAAAGGAACAGATTTTATTAAGGGAAAAAATTTGCCTTCATAATTGTAGTAGGAAGATGCCGAAAAATGTTGAATTTTTGGAATTTTCGAAAAATTAAAAGTTTTTAACGAAAATGAGACCTGCATCATTCTCTCAAAAGCTCTTCGCATTATCCAACAACAAAATTTAATCAAAATTGATGGAGCCATTTTTTAAAGATTTGAAAATGTCCCAAGAGCTTCATGTAAAGTACCCCCAAAATTAAAATATCTGTTTCAAATTCAAGGGGCCGCGACATCAGCCAAATCGATTGGAGGATATCAAATTGGGGAAAAATCGGCTGAGCGGTTTAGCAGATTTCGCAGATGGCCAGACGAACCGACGGGCAGACGAGCAGACAGGCAGACGGGCAGAGAGTATAAGCATAAGTCGAAGAGTGAAAATGGAAACGGTGATAAAATCCTTAAAAAAAGTGTAGGTTTCTGAATACTATGGTCGAGAGAGGTTTCTTAGAGTATCGTATGTCACTGTAGTGCGTCTGACCGGGAGATCCTAGATTCGAGTTCCGACGGTGGCAGAATTTTCTATACTAGCTAGATTGCTAAGTCAACTCCAGCTGCTTCCTGAAAGAGAATTCTAGCTGTCGGATCGACAGTTTTCCGATGTTTCTCCAAACAACACCAAGTGAATGCTGGAGCAAGTTCTCTAACAAACGGGTCACGGACCACATGCCATCTTTTCTTCCTCTTCATTGTCCTATTCTACCCCTTATTTACACACATGTACACTAACATGCACATTTCTACCTCACATACCGGCAGACCGGTCGGTTGCTTAGAGCTCCCGGTTGGATCGGTATGCTGCTGGTAAGAGACTCATAATTGGAGAAAACCACGCTCGTAGGTCGGCGCCGTATCTTGCCGACGGAGGGGAAGAGAGGGAGAAAAAAGGGAGAAAGAGAGAGAGAGAGAGAGAAGAGAGAAGAGAGAGAAGGGAGAGAGAGGAGAGAGAGAAAGGGAGAGAGAGAGAGAGAGGGAGAAAGGGCGAGAAGACAGAAGAAGAAGAAGAAAAAAGAAAAAAAGAAAAAAGAAAAGAAAGAGAACATGCACTACACTTGCGGGACCAGTGACCTTAGCCCTTAACGTGCCCGGATTCACCAGCAGTCAATCTAATACTTTGAATGGTAATGAGAACAATTTGTTATGCAATGCTGATGACGAAGAGGAAATCGAATCGCTAAGAACAGAAAGGGATTCAGGTGACAAACGTCTCAACAACGAAAGTAGGGATGTACTGCAAGAACTATTTGCCCCAAATTATGAACGGGGGAATTCTTAATTTGTTTGTACCTGTGTTATAAGACGACCCCGTATTTTGAAAGTATTTTTTGTGATTCATCTACATCTTATCTCCCGAAACCCTCCACTCTTCTCGCATCTAGTGAAGTGAGGGCTCCAGAAAACGAGTAAACCAACGTTCACAGGTGAGTGGTGCGAGCTGCAAAGACTTGTTTTGACGCTGCATTGCTGAATGCGCAGGCGCTGCGGACGGCCTTCCAGCCCAACGACGAGTGGGGACCCAGCAACACGCGCGTCAGAGAGCAGTGGAGATCGTTCAAGAACGAGCTGGCGCAGCAGTCGCGGAACGAAGGCTGCACCCGCGCCGTCTGGCGGAAGCTGTGCGGCTGCGGATCCCTCGACATTGACTTCGAGAAAGACGACGACAAGGACGTCAAAGCGCCCAACCCCTGACCCCCTCACCCTCCAATTTTTTTCTTTATCTTGCTTCTCCGCGCACCACCCGGCTATCCTGGACGCTCCTGGCGAGCGCCCCTGCCGGTTGAACATGAAAACTACGTACCGAGTGGTTTCTCGGGCCCTTGGCTACACTCGGCATTAACACAAGACTCATGGCCTCCTCGGACGCAACACGAACACGATTTTTCCTGGTGGAAAGATGTCTCGCGATTTTTGATTGGTTGAAGTTTGGGCATTGAAGTTTAGGCATTGAAGTTTACTTTTTTGTTTAAAAAAATCGTCGTGTGAAAAATCAGTTTTTCGGTGTAATTAGTTTCCACTGAAGGTTGGTTCGAAATTCTTTCCACCTGCAATTGTTCCACTTGCAAATACTAAGCTGCATCTTTCCACCTGTCCCATACAATCATTCAACTCTTCAAACATTCTTAAGTTAAAAGCTTTCAGAATATCAGTAGTATCGTGTTTGCCGTGGGAGGTATTTTCCTTTTGTCGTTTTGTGTTTTGCTCTGTCACGTCTCTGTTCGGCAACGTCCGTGAAGACCAATGCATTTCTCTTACTGAGAAAATGTGAACAAGTGAACTTGGAGGGGTCTCATTCACAAACACGTTGTTTTATTTATTCTTTGTTTTTGTTGGCCGCAATTATTATTATTTTTCGTCGCCCACTTCATACGCTTTAACCTTTTCTCTTCATTGTAGTATATAGAATTGTCCCCTGTATTGTGATATAATGATATGACAAAATGAAAAGCGAATTTCAAGAACGAAATTGCAAAAGCTCTAAAGATGGCCGCTGTGCGGTCGAGAAACCGTTTATGACGAAGGTTCATGACGAAGGATCATGAGAATACAAATAAAGATTTATACCATTCAACAAGAATGGTAGTTAATTAAGTTAGCGTAAATCCTTAGAAATTGTGAGTACGAAGATACAGTTTTCAACAGTCCTACCAAAAAACCGCAACAGCAAAGCCGAATCAGCACACAATAAATTGCTTGTCAAGATGTGACATAAGAGGCCAATTAATGTTTGAAAATAATGTTTGGCATGTTGAACGTGGACAAACAAATTTCAATGGACCTCGAAATTTCCAAAATTGAGATTTTGATAGAAAATATAATATTTAAATTATTGATTCTCAATGCTGATTTCATTCGTGAAATATCAGATTTTATACAATGAAATTACAACACAAAGTATATCAATGTCAGAATGATTGCTGTATCTTGTTTGGTTACTTATATTGTACTTCATCATTACCTTGGTTGCTGGTCTGTGGTGAATCCAAGGGGGATGAGAATGACAGTGATCACTCTTCCCATGAACTCTTAAATAAAAATGATTTGATTTTACAGTGAGTAAACTTCTCTATATGTCAAAAAATATGTAAATATTTTTATTTTGAATAAATATTTTAATTGTTATTTCTTACTTATTATCTATTTTAAAAAACCAATAAAAAAATTGGCCATTGTAGGAAATTTACTTCGTAACAATTGTTTTGATCTGTCATTGGTGTCAGTAGTATTACTAGTCTGGGGAAGATCATTCCAAGAAAAGTGAAGATCTGGAAAAAATGTCCATTTCTCATTGATGATAATTATAATATTTTCATACTTTTAACTTGCAGTTTAGGTATTTCAATTTTATTTTATGAACTATCCTCTTTCTTATTTATAATGGTTTAGAGGCAACTGAACAAACTAGAATGCCATTTTGAAATTGATGAACAAACTAGTGCCATTTTATTGTTTTTTATTACATACTACTTTACAAAATTTCAACAAAAATAATATACCCACTGGCACATTGAATTGTTTATGTAGAATTTACAACATTTCTCAGTTTTATTATATATTCAAAAATGTAATTTCATGAATAAAATTAAAATAGAGAGAAAACTTATGAGAAATGAACAGGAAATAATGTTATGAAATACAAGGTACTAATCACAAATCTAAACATACCTCCAAAGTCAAGATATTAATTTTGAGGACCTAAACATTCATTACTAAACTTGATTTCACATTTGAGGGAGTGATATATGTAGATCAATAATAAAATTAATATTAAAGTTTATATTTCAAAACAAGAGGCAATTAAGAACCAAATTCAATATACCATCAACTGATTAAAAATAATGAATTATTATGTATTACAATGAAACATGCATTAATTTTATCAGCTAATGAAAAAATTCTAGTCTTATCTGTTACTTATTTAATATTTTCAATACAAAGTTTTAGAAAGTTCACATTCATGTTTTTTTTATTCTCATGAATAGTATATACTTGTATAGAAAATTATAAAACATGTCAAATGTACTTTATCATAAATTATACTTTTTCTCTAAGATATCTTGGCTCATAATGATGAATATCATTTGATATGATTTGATTTATTTTGTCAAAAAACTGTGACAGGGAGAGAAAATCATCTGGACACATTTCCTTGAGTTCCAGAATCCATTTCCAACATTTCAACTATAAATAGTTGAAAGATGAATAAAAATGTAATGGATGAAGAATGAATGAATAAGTAAAATGAACAAAGGCTTATAATTTGCAAATTATCATATTATTATTACTACTCTTCTCTTATTTCACATTCTTAAAACGTCTACCAGTATAATTTACAAAGAAGTAAAGATCCAATGTTGAATTACACACTGAAAGAATTATGTGACATTTTTGTAAATAAAAGAAAGAAGTGATATTTCAAATCATCACCAAAACTGTGTTGTTTTACAGTTATAGTCTTGTTCAGAGGTGGGGTGTGGAATTAGACTGTGCCCCTGAACATTTTCAAAGGGCCCTATAGCCTTACTTAATAACATGTTTTTCTGATCATTAACGATTTTTCAAAATTTTATTCAATATAGGTCACTTTAGATTTAGCTGAATTCATTAGCAAACACTGTTCCTTTCTACGTAAGTAACAACATTTAAAAAGTACTAATAATCATACAATAATTAATTTCAGTAATTTTTCACAATACTTTTATTTAATTTGTCAAGCCAAGTAAATTAGGAAATAATTTGTAACATGACATTTTGGGAAGAGGCTCTCCAGGTCATCAGGCATCCCTGTAAATGGTTCAACATAAAACCAATAATTGGTTTTATGTTGCATTGTATTTATTAATAGTAATCACAGAAGTTATTTTTTATTCCCCTTGTAATATATTTTATTTATCTACTAGTAAAATACATATGTAAATCCAAAAATGTTAAGTGGAAAAGGTGGCTCGGAAGTATAGCAGGCTTCTTGTTTTTGGCTGCACAGTGCACATGCCAATGTTTTTAGTGCTATTTTATGAATACATAGAGTAACTAACTAATTTAAAAAATAATCATTTTATAAAAACAAAAAGTTGCAATTATTTTTCAAGAATGCCACTGGTGTTTAGTCATCATCTTTCTAAAGACAAAAAAGTGTGTTGTAGATGCCGCAATTATAGTCTGTCCTCCGCTGTCCTCTTCATCTCAGTACATTTAATCAATACAAATGCAGTCATTTGAAAGAAATTTCTAAAAACTTACATGGTTATAAAATAAAGACAATAAATGCTTACTTTTTCAGAATCAACAGCATATCATCTAGAAGCTAGTAATAACTCTTCTACATTATACTTTACCAAGAATTATTAGAAATTTAAATATGATAATATATATTTAGACAGAAGTTGAATATTTTTAACTGAATTATTATTTTTATTACAATAGGAAAGATTTCATTCTCAGAGTCATTTGAATATATCATTATTAATTCTGTGTTTGCTCCTGAGCGTAGGACTCGTATCTCAATTTTTTGCCAGTTTTCCAGCAATCCTGTGAGCAAATGAGATGCCTATTTGTGTCCATTCTATCAGTAATTATAGGAATACTCCTCTCCACATACATAAGCAGTACATGGGTGTAATTAGATAATTTTTCTGGTGTGTTCAAAATGTAAATTAACTAGAAAATTCCATTTTGTCGCTTGTTCTCATTAAAAAACATGTATATTGAAATTGCTGTTTTCATTTGAATTACAATACATTGGAAGTAGAAAATAAGTAAAAATGTATGGGTTACAAATGTTTTCATTGCTATGTTCTAACAAGGTAGAGCGGAAATTATTTGAACCAACTAGTTTACATTGAAGATTTTAAATAATGATTTAAATCATCAAAAAAATCAATTCTTTCCAAATTGTACCTAGTTCTTGCTTTACCATAATTTTATTACCATAATAACAAAAAGCACAAATTAATTATTTTACAAAAGCACAGAAAGAAAATTTTTAAAACTAATTGAATATTTGAGAAACAGTAGAAGTGTTGGAGTGTTATTTCCATATAACACTCTATTACATATTCATGTATACCCATGGGTTGCATAATTAATAACTTGTAACTCCTAACTAGTCACAACAGATATACACATTTTTTTCATAATTAAATTTGTTGCTCCCCAAAGAATTGGTTAATTTAATTATTAAAATGCTTTATTACTTAGTAACATGGCCCCATTTCTTATTTCTTTATGACTACAGAATATATACTCCAAGCATAATTGCATCCAACAAGGTGATAGGATGATGATAATTGTATATACATATTTTTCATTGCCTTGATTACTAAACGGTAAGACAATTACAATGCATAATTTTTTAACTATAATTATTTGATATATTCTTTATTAATACAATAAAATATAAATTTATTTCAAATTAATATTAATAAGTTAAATGTATTACATATAAGATTTTTACATTAAAAAATATCATATTATTTTGGTGGTATTACTTACTTATATACTAACTGAGAATTAAATCACATTATAAATGTTTCTAAAAAGTAAATGATAGTTATTTAAGAATCATGCAATCTTGTTGAATATTTAACATTGGTGAAAACCCTGTGATTAGTTTAGGTGCAAGTGTTATTCGTGAACAAACAGACAAAGAGTTGTTTTGAAGAAAGAAAACAGAAAAAGAAGAAAAAACATCACCAAATGACCCTGTTTTGTAGAAAGGACAAACAAAATGTGTATTTCTGACAAAACCTTGACATTGAATTTTTGCTTTACAAAAGAACTTTGTCGATACTAGGTATTTTTAAGGGAGTAAAACAAAACTGGGTTTTTCTAGACAATTCTTATGAGGTCTTGACCTCCTTTCCCCCTCAAATTATCCTATGATGCAGTATGAACAACTTTTAGATGCATTAAAGAGTTAATGAAATAACTATTTACAATGTGTCAATGACTTGCTTGCAAAATTGACACGAGTAATCTCTCAAAGATGGAAGAGATCAGGAAAAACAAAAACAAAAATAAACCAAGACTAAACTATAATATTATAGGTACACACATTAAAATCGAAAAATTAAAATGTAATTGAATTAATTTAAGTGTTGTTTATAATTGGCCCAGTTTAAGTAAAATTTGAGAAAGTGAGATAATGCCATTCTGAATGAATTGTCATTAGCATACAGTTTTTAAAAGTAAATGAGTCCCTAGTCCTCATTTATTATTAAATCCTATTTCTAAAATATTATCCTCAAATAAAGTATCATAACCTTGGTTATTGACAGCTTTTAAGAGGTCGATACTTCTAAGAATAACACCAATCACCCTTTATGGTAGGTCTCCTCACAAATTACAGTAATTTTTACTAAAATGTCTACTAAAATTAATAATATCGAAAATATGACTAGTAAATTAGGTAAAAATTTAATTCTATACTTCTACATGTTCTCTTTTTACATACTTGAAGGAATTGTTTATTTGTACATTCAATTATTCTTCAATTTGGGTTATTTATTCACTAAAGACCTTTTGATCTCCTAAAACTTCGCATGATTTATTTAAGTGTACTTTAAGTGTGCACATATCAATTAAATAAACCTCCTCTCCTTCTGTATTGATGTAATGCTATCATCACTAAATTTCCTAATAATACTTTTAATCACAGAAGGTTCATGTTGTGTAGTTAAATTGATAAGGAAATAAAGAAAGAAATGAATGGAACTAAGACAACACATACTTTTCCTCATAATTTTTAATGTTGGCAATTTTACAAAATACAGAGAGCTCACTGAAAATTCAATCTGCAGGACTATTATAAGCATATTTTGCTCTATTAGAAAAAATATCTTAAAGAAATAATTTTGAGTTGTTTTTGAGAGAATAATTGTTTAAAAATATGTCACATAAAACTACACAAAAACCTCTCGTATTTTCGAAAAAGTGAACTTGATCTTATTTAAAAGCCTGTCTTTGAAGAACAGTTTTCATCAAGAAACTGGAAATAAAAAACAAACAAAAAACATTTAACACTGTTTCTTTGAAAAAAATATAAATTACCTGACAAGAAATAATTCTGTGAAAACTACTCGTATTTTCACAGAATTGTTTTCAAGAAAAAATTAAAATTGAAGCCATTTTGAGAAAATAATTTATTCAAAATTTGCCTAAATTTCAATCAAAAGTACATGGAAACTACTCATGTTTTTGAAAACTTTGTACACTTATTTAAAGAACTATCTTTTAAGGAATGGATATTATGAAGAAAAAATCTATTTTTTCAATATTGTTGTTGTAGAAAGATGCAGAAATAATTTTGAATTTTCGAAAATGTAGAGTTCAATTGCGCCATTTTTAACGCACTTTGCTCTATCTGAGAAAAACTTTTGGAACCATTTTTTAGAAATAAAGATAAGTATTTTGTTAGCAATACTAACAAAATCAAATCTGTAGCATGGGGAAATCCTGTTTTCAAACATACTTTAATTTTGTTTTCTTCATTCAGTATTCCTTCGTACCTGTTGCTCGTTTACCAATGCATGTAAGTTTTCTATAACTCGGGAAGGTCTAATCAAGAAAAATTTTGAAACGGTGCTAAACTCGCTTTGTTGATGTTTTTATTCCATAAACTAATTATGGTTAAAAGATGATGAAGAGATTCTGGAGTTCAAGAAAATATACGCAGACTTTACTTCTCCGTCACGACCGATACACATGTCTAATGCCATAGTCTAATAATTATTACTAATTATTTTTAATAATTAATGTGAACTATTATTAATTATTAGACTATGTATTGGCCATGCCCCCATACATCGCAATTTTTCTTTTCTTTGACGAAATAAATAAAATCAGTTTTCGTACCAAGAAGGCATCAATGGGAGTTTCTCTGTCGAAATGTCGCTTTTCCCGCAGCATTACAATACGTTCCCCACACTACGTGTGCGAGAAAGGAAAAGGTACTTATACCATGAATGAATGTATGCTTGAGATAATGGTCCCTATAAGTAATTCGTATATCTGACACGAGAATGCGCCAGCATTATCAGCGTCTCAGCGTATTATACTCGCATATTGGTGGGGGTTCAGCCCGCACCCCGGGTCTGCCCGGTGCGGGTGCAACCTTGTAATCCGAAGCTCGAAGTAGGCCCGTGTTGACTTCTGCATTACGGGATATATAATTTCCCATATATGTTGACTAAAAACAGCCCTTTCAATGGATCCCACGAACATCTTGAATCGTACGATGTTCTGGTACAAAGTAGCGGTTATTTTTGTTGTGATATATATGTTGGTTTTTTGGCCTTTATATTACTTCTATTTACTTTAGTACATGGCACACGTATGGATAAACTAAAGCACTTTTACAAACGAATAGTTATTCACATGTTTCTATAGCAACAAACAATATTTTTTACCATTTCTCTCCAGACCCCATCAAATTAATTCCATGCACTTTAATTTTTGATATTCCTAGTTATTTATTTTATTTTTGAAGTAATTTATTACCTATTTTGTATAAAAACAGAAACAATTTAACAAAAATGGAAGAGGAAGTTGAAGAAGTAGAACAGGTAAAATTTTAACATTTTTGTAGTAGTTCTCTAGTTTCTGTCACCTGTTATTGATGTTTGTGTTAAAAGTTTAATTAACATTAATTGAAATTCCTAGGGTGAACAAAATGTTAATCAAGAGGAGCCTGAAGAAACAGAAGAAAATACTGTGGAAGAATTGGTTCCACAAGCCTCCAAAAAGAAAAAGAAAGATGAGAGGCAGTATCAGTTAGAGGAGGAGGAAGAAGAAGAGGAGGAGGAGGAAGTAGAAGAAGAAGAAGAAACAAAATCTCTCTTTGAGCAACTTTTTGATAGTTATCAACAGGTCAGTACTGAAGAGATATAAAAATTATATTTTGCAAAATTAATGATCAAACGTTTCTTATTTCAATACATATGTGCAAAAAAATGTTCCAAATAACTAAACATTTATTCTATATTATTTTTCTTTACCATTCACTGACTTAATGAAGTAAATATTATTTTGAATTTTTTTTTAAGTATTTCATTGTTAATTCACTATGCATAAATATTCAGAATACATCAGCAATTTTTATTTCAATGAAAATAATAGTTACATTTGTTGAGAAAAAAAAATTATGTAGGTATTTTAGTTTTCTTACTTAATCATTTTTATTTGTTTACTTTTCTGTATAAATGATGAAAACTGGAATCTAAATGGAAACTTGTGTATCAGAGAAGTTACACTTCCATTTTAATAATTATATGAACAAGTGAAAATTTTGAACAGATGCAACAAGACAGTAGTTATGATCATTAGCAAGGAAGCTAATATTCATCTTTGCATTATTGACAATTTGAAATTTATTATTCAGAATTACATTATTGATCAAACAATCAGATATTATGCATACTATATCAAACATAATCAATACATCATATAAATATGACATGCTCAATATAGTCTATTGACATTTTTATTATTATTATTTCTTTTTTATTATTATTAGTATGTGATGACTTTTACAAATTCAAACTGTTATCTTATTGTAAAGAAATTCACTTCATGGAATTGAAAAGAATATCAGAAATGGGAAACCTCAATATGAAATTGGTAGAAATATCAGAAATGTTAAACTTCAATATGAAATTAATAGTCATGATATAAAAATTTAAGATTGGGGATGTATGATCCCAACATATTTAGAGATTGGTTACTTGTATCTTTTCTAATCACTAACTAGAACCTATTCTTGAGAATTGTTACAGGAAAGTATGAGAGGTAATTAAATTATTCAATTTTATCTGCATTATGTATTACAGAGTTATGTGAAAAGAGTTAGGAGAGAAAACCTATTAGCATTCATTTTTGATCTATAATCGGAATTAGAAATAATAAAATTATTTAATACTGAGATGCTATATGTCTGCTCATAAAGTGCGCCTCTATGTGCATGGAAATGCATATATTATATGAAATGTTGCTTTTGTTTCTTCACAGTTTTTAAGACTGTAAATGCATGCACTTGGTTTTGTTTACAATGTCAACATTTTTTAATATTTTCTGCAATGTCAATTTTTTTTAAACTTGCTATTTAGAATTATTTAATTGATGCAAATACAGTATAAATACAGTATAGTTTGAAGATGACAAAGTAAATCAAAAGTGAATGAAATATTTGTGAGAAGGTAATATACTTTAATGGTAAACAGAAAATTTTGGAATCAGGTAGTGTAGTTTTCTGGTTATGCAATAAACATGGAAATAAACAAATAACAAAACACCAAAACACAAAATTATTTAATTTGTTCATACCCAGGAACTGCCACAAGATTAGATTATTATTATTATTATTATTATTATTATTATTATTATTATTATTATTATTATTATTATTATTTCTTTTGTAAGGAACAGTCTATATTTTAAATGATTTAAGCACTTTTAATTGATCCAAGATTTTTATGTATAAGAACATTATGTTAAATAGTTTAAATGTTAAAGAATTAAATATATAGGGAGGTAATATTATAATAGAAGAGTAAGATAACTATGAAAATGAAAGAAAGAAATTAGCACTATTGCTGCAAAGACTCTCTCAAAATTAATTTGTAGTTTCAAAACTCATTATATAGTCCCAATTCATGAATTGGACTTTTTGCTCTGTGTAAGATCTAATTCTTCTATAAGAGTAGTAGCCTATAATATTGTAATAAAATTAGTTTTATTGACATGCGTTAGTCTCTTCACCAGTGAAATAAGTGCTTAACCTGAGGGTGTCAATCAAAGAACACATTTTAGGACACAATTTCTGCATCTTTGGGCAAGAAAAAATATAGGGCAGACATTCATGGAGTTAGAATAACCAATGGAGCATGTTATGAAACGTGTCTTTCTGACTGCAGAAATATAATATTCATAATAGTGTTAAATAAAAATTATGTAAAAAATTTTGTGTTTCTTTACTCAAAAGAAAACAAAGGAAATGAAAGAAGGAAACTTTCTCTATCTCCCTGGAGATGATTTTGGTTGTAACTTGGTGAATTTGTGAAGTAGATGCACTCCATTACTTCATATTATTCACATTTCAAATTGAAGCCCATCTTGAATAAATCAACCGATACCGTACTGTAACTATTGGTACTATATTAGCACACTCTTTCTCGCATTATTAGTAACTTCAGCAATTTTCGAAAATTATGAGATTTTAACAAAAATGAGACCTATGTCATTTTTTGAGCTTTGTTTCTAACGACGTAAAAATAAAGAAAAATATGGATAAATACTTTGAGAAAAGAAAGCTTTATTACATGAACGAAAATACGCGAAAACTATTCTTATTTACTTCTCCCGCATCTGAACCTTGCTCGCCTCTGTTGAAATATGAGTCACCGCCAAGGGCCTACATCTAATTGAAAAAGAAGTCAGTTGACGGCAGTTCAAGGAAGACGTTCTTTCTCCGTTGCCATAAAGCTTGATTAAAAACTCTTTTGGTTGTTTCTACTCTTGACATCAGAGGCGTTGTGAGATATGGGCGATTAATACACGAGAGGACGAACGGCTGAGAGTTCCTCCTCACGACTTCGGTTTCGATCGTTTCTGCACAGCTTAAAAACGCGCGAGTAGTTTAAAACCGATTTAAAATAAATTTCTTCGGGGCATCTTTTTAACTCAAAAAATCATGTCAATTTACATATATTAAAAAAAGTGATTTTTCGGCGAAATTTTGACGAGAAAAGGTTATGAGGTATTCCACGTAAAATCTCACATATTGAAGAAAAATTGACCTGGATGTCCCAGATTTTCAATGTTTTTAAAAGCTTTTTTTTTTAATTTGAAAATTTATATTTTCTTGAAAAAATATTTGGCAAAAAATGAAAAAAATCATGTGTTCCATATTTTCACTTATACTCTTCGTAGAAAAAAGTTTTAAGAACCCGGAACATCAAGGTTAAACTTCCCTCAAATTTGTGCGTTTTGATTGTCTCATACAACTTTCTTTAATTTATTTAAGGTCGCATCAACTTCTAGGTCATTAGTGACCTAGAAGACTATTGCTTGAAATGTATACCGAAGGATCGCGATCATAATTGCTCGCGATCCTTCGGTCCGAGCTCGAGTCCGATCTCGGCCACCGGATCGGCACTCGTATAACTTGTTTGGTCAAATTTGGCCGAAAAAGCTGTTTTTTTAAAATTTTAATCGATGAAAATAGATAGAAACGTCTAAAATGATAACTTCAAATCATTTGGTCATCATTTAGATAACATTTCGAAAAAAATTGAGCACAATATGATATAAGCAAAATTATTATTTCTGATGATAACGTTGTTTTTTTCATTAAAATAATGTTATTAAATATCGTTAATGCATGTTAAAAATGATTTATTTACATAAATGGCAGGAGGCTTATTATTTCACTGTCAGTAAAGCTTATGATGCATGCCAGTCTTATCTTTTATTTTCATGGGACCTTTGGAAATGATTACTCAGGTAAAGTTTTTTTACAGCCACCTTTATATAGTAAACATGCATGTACGTATACAGACATACGCAGGGTGTCCAAAGAGGAAACGATTAAACCTCAAAAACCAGCTCTTATTACAATTTTAAGCATATTTTGTCTAATAAACTTCATTAATTAAATCGCTGGTGAGGTAGATACCTTTTTATTATGATAAATAAATAAAGATGTTGTCAGGTATCAATACTTTTTTTTTTATTGATACCTGACAACATCTTTATTTATTTGTCTAATAAACTTCTTTGATAATTCCAATGGCTGAGCTGCAATTAGCCCTTAAAAACGTTGTTTTGAAAAAAGAAAAAAAACTTTCTACGCAAAAATGTCCACTTCAGAAACACGTAAATCGCTTATTCCGTGCAAAAGAAAGCAACTCGGTTGACGCCGTTTGCCGCCGCCCGCAGGTGACGACGCAGCTGCAGGGGCAGGACGGGCTGGAGAACGTGCTGCAGGAGTACGAGCGGCTGTTCGACGCGGCCAAGGACTGGTACGAGCTGGCGGAGGCGCGCGAGGGCCGCGCTCACGCCCTGCAGGTGGAAGCCGAGGTGCTGTGGGGCGACCTCATCGAGTGCAGGGTGCACTCGGCCCAGCAGCGCGAGGAGATCTTCGACCTCAAGGACGTACGTCAACGGACTAAAGACACGGCGTACCTGCAGCGCGGGAGCGACTCTTGACGGTTCTCTCGCCGCGTGCTGTCGTTCCTCACGAGATTTGACTGAAGCCATCAGCGCGCGAGGATTTGTTTACTTTCTTACGGCCAGCTTTCAGCGTTGCCGCTCATCTGGCTCGCACGAAAGTTTTGAACATGGTATAAAGACGTGTCAAAGCCTGTATGTAAGTGTTAATGTTTTGAGATTTAATTTATCTGCAAAGTAGGTGGTACCGTGTACCTAATATTGTGTGGCAACAGCGCATTGAACTGTCAGAGTCGCTTACACGCTGCCGGTATTGTATTCCGACACACCGATTTTTGGCTCGTTCTGGGCAGCACCATTTTTACGTCACAAACCACGTGATCATAACGCGGGCATTTCGTTTGAAAAGCCTAGCCAGACCAGACGCTGGCCGCCATGTTGCATGGAGAGCGAGAAGTGTTGAGAAACATTTTGAAAGTGGCATAAAATGATGATTGTCAACGATAAAGGTGTAATTATCATGAAAGTTGAAATATTTTAAAAAATGCTTCGTATATTTGTTTCAATGGCTTGTATCAAAGTGATACTTTAGTATCTAGCATTTAAAATTTCCGCCAATGTGGTGCTTGTAGCTCATTGGCTTAAGTCAGATACGTTGCGCAGCTCACTCATGAATAGTAGGGTTGCGACAACGATGTAGATTTTAAAAAATCGGTATTTTTATAAACTCATCGATGCATGTAATATCGACGTTTTGAAGCTGACGTCTTTTAACATCGATTTTTGATCACGATGTTTAACATCGATGATTTTGTAATCGATATTTGCACTTGGTTAATTTTTTTAAAGAAAAAATATTTTTAAACGAAAAAAGAGGTATTTTTAATAAAAAATCAACATAAGAAAAACCTATTGTTTGTCTTCATCAATTTTGAAGTTTGTTTTGTCGGTTAAATCTCGATTAAAAATTAATAAATGCAAGTATCTTCAAATTAAATTCGCACCGCGTGATCATTAATGGTTACTAACCCAGTTTTTAAAGCATTGATGATGTTCATGCGATGTTTTATTAACATTCATATTTTAATTTTGTCAATGGATGTTTTGTTTGCAAAGTCACATTCTTGAACGATACACGCCGCAATAGTGTGTATCTTTAATGCTGATGAATAAGAAAAGTCCGAATTTTGCTAGAAATGAAATAAGTATACTACTAAATTCGGGTTTTCTTCTTTATCGTAAATTCACGAATTGTCCCGGCATCGCGGGATCAGTATCCTCGCCTTACACACGCACTCACAATGACGTGCTCTACTCTACCACTAATATCGTAAGATTGGCCCCTAGCGTTGAGCATAAACCTAAGATGATGCAAAGAACATAAACCTAAGAAGAGCAAAAACCTGAAATGACGCAGTGCGCCGCTGGGAAGAGACCTAGAGGAGAGAAACTCGCGCAAGCCACCGGGTAGATCGGCCATGGATATCACGTTTCAGCAGGGGAGGAACACCGCCATCACCAAGTTATAACATTCACCTCACTTACGGGACTAGTGACCGTAGTATAGTTAACAAGCCAGAAAAGAATCAATCTTTGAAGAGCAGCTTAACGTCGTCACTAAATGTCCGCGTTGACGGACTTTTAACCGTTGTATATTATCACCATCTATTAGATAATATATATTTTAAAATATATATTATTCATGTATTTAAACCAATAAGTTAAAAAACTATACGTGCTTTTGTAGGAGAAGTACAAGTTTTGGAAATTAGTAACCATTAGATAAGTTTTAGATTTTTCGCAAGTTCATGGGTATCTAACTAAACCATAGACCCCTGTCACATTACCGGAAGCTGCATAGTTTTGTTCGGCGGTCCTTGAAAATGAGTAATATATGTTAATAAAAATCGGAAATTTCGTTAGAGAAAAAAGTTATAAACAGTCAAACAATTAGATGAATTTTACTGCTTGTTGGCACGAAATTTTTCCAGCCGTCCTGTTCAAAAGGTGTCTATTCTTCAAAAAGTATAAAATTTTGACCTCAAATGGCAAATGTAATACAATAATAATTATTTCTGGTACAGTGACCTTTTATTTTACTAGTAGGAAAGGGACCAAGTGGCGCAAACATACGAGCACTTTCACTACGTATTTCATACACTTTTTTAGACCTTACTGACTTTTTGGTCTTTTTGTCCCTTTAGTCCCCTTTTCCCTTCTCCCCGTTATCCCCTTATCCATTTGTCATCATTGTCCCCTTGCCCCTTGTTCCCTTTGTGCCCTTGTCCTTTTTCCTCTTGGTCCCTTTATTCCCCTTGTCCCCATGTCTCTTGCCTCCTGTCTCCCTTGACCCCCCTGCCACCCTCTCCCCATGTTCCCTTTTCTTTTTGGCCTTTTTGGTTATTTTGGTCCTTCAGGTCAGAGGAAAGTGTTTTTTTCCTTTGTTGCATTCACAGATTTATCAGAACAATTAGGAACCGACTTACTATTACCATTAGTACTAAAAATTGAACATTTTGCACGATAGGCGCTAGGCCCTGAAAGAAACGTTTCTAGTAGAGGCTGTCTAAAAAAATGTATTTTAGAATATTCGGAGGATGTAGTACGGGACTTTCGACTCTAGATACAATCGGCTTTGTTTTTAATAAATAATTCATATTATTTGAATACATTTATTATTTGTACATGATAACAATATTCGTTTAAATACAATTATTAAAATTTCTTTAATTGCTTAAAAAATAAAATTTGAATTAATAATATTAATATAATAATAATAGTAACAATAATAGTAATAATAATAATAATAATAATAATAATAATAATAATAATAATAATAATAATAATTTTCAAAGTTGCTTTGCCGTCGCGCGCGTTCCGCGGAGGCCTGTGCAGGCGTGGCGTGCCAATCCCTCGCACGCGATGTGCCAGCACGCGCGCGCGCGCTCCGCAGCGCGGTCGATACGCGCAGAAATGACGTTCGCGACCGCCCGCGTGCCTTCGCGCCTCGAGAGGAGCGAATTGAATTGAACGAATTGACCCCCTGCTAGCGATGCGACGATGATAACAAAAGAAGGACGTTCGAAATAAGCGAGCGGCGCTAAAAAAAAGCACGCGTCTTCTCGCCCGCGCTTTCACGCAAAATTACGCGGAAAGTACTCAAGTTTTCGAGAAATCATACACGATCTTGGGGTCGTAGGCTTCCGCGGTCGCAGTCGATGCGTTCTTGGCTATCCGGGATGAGCCGCGTCTCGGTCAATTGTACTGACGTTTCGGCCATCTTGTTGTGGCCTTCTTTAGAGCTCTGAAGGTCACAGCAAGATGGCCGGAACGTCTGTACAATTGACCGAGACCGCGGCTCATCCCGGATAGCCAAGAATGCATACATGACCTTATTTCAAAATCTATCTTTGAGGAACAGATTTCATTATGGGGAAAACATCTCAATCTTTATATAGTTAAGTTGTAAGAAGACTCGGAAAAAAAATTTGAACTTTTGCAATTTTCGAAAAATTAGAGTTTTTAACGAAAACGAGACCTGCACCATTCTCTTAAACGCCCTTCGCATTATCCAACACCAAAATTTAATCAAAACCGATAGTGCAATTTCTTTGAAAATTTGGAAAATGTTCCTAAGGACATATGTAAAGTACCCCCTCAAAATTAAAGTATATGTTTTAAATACAAGCGGCCGCGACGTCGGTTCGACGAGATCGGTAAAATATTGAACACTCTAGCCAGGTTGTATTCATGATTGCGTCGGTTCAAATCTAGTGCTAGTTCTAGCAAATCTGGTACTATTCAAATCTAGTGGTAGTTACTATATTCCCGTGGTTAAGTGAGGCCGGTGTAAAGCAAACGATGCGAAGGCTTTATTCGCATAGAAAACATTAAAAAAGATTTTTTTTCTGATGAAATGTCGGCCTTTTCTGGCGCACGATTACATAACTTTCTCTTCTTACAAAGAATCCGTAAAGTCAGAAAGTAGAACTGAAAACACCCATCGATGTCTCTGCACATCCTAGATTCAAGATAGTTTGCCCTGTCAACACGAGCGTCTGGAGCTGTAACGAGGGCCATAACAAAGACTTTCTTATGGCCACCTCAGAACTCTTTACTATACGCGCAAGTTTTCTTTATATTCCACAGCGGGGGGAGAAGACGGCTCTGGCTACGACACGGCTTAAAAGGGCGTACCAACTGTAAGCGTGAACTAACTCACCAAAGTGTGCCACGAGAAATGAGTTTTTTCAAAGTACGAGATGGTTGTTGCCAACATTATAAACTGATACGTGCCGTTCCCAGTCGAACCTAAGTATCTCAACGTGCTGGGCTATTCAGCGCTGGGTGAGGTCTAGGGAGCTCGTGTATCAAGAAAACTTGCGCGAGTAATACGTAAACCTTCTATCCTCTCAGGGATGCCACTACAAGTACTTGCTTACATCTATATATTAATGACTTGGATGGCCCGAGGTAACATCTTACAAGTATTACGTATCCCCCCTTTTAAGATTTCCTTCAATGTAACAGCTAGACTTTCTAGCATATTCTTCGTTGAAAGAAAACGTTAGTTAATGCTACCGGAACGATCATGTGTCTATTTTTTCTTCACAAAACACGTTTTTTGTCCCTGACACCGAAAATGTTGATTTTTTGCTCCTACTTGTAGTTACTCTCACGAATGTGTATTACAGTCAGAATCCACGTTTTGTGGCTAGCCGATACAGAAAACAATGTTTTTTTTCCTCCATGGGTATTGACGGTCTGAGAACAGCAGGGAAACAATTAGAGCCTCAAGCTTACACCACGGATTTCCACAAAAACTGATAATCCCCGATCGAAGTGATTGATGTCGCAGCAGCTCGAATTTGTAACGGATTTCTTTTTCTTTTTCGGACGATCTTTTCACGAAGTCCATAAGACGTTTAATCGACGGTAATAAGAATTTAATCGAAGGAACAAGAAAATACCGTTTTTTTGGTATCAGAAGCCAGCGAAACGAGATTTTTTTATTAAAATACAGGCACTTTTCCTGCCGCTTCACAGAGCTTTTTCTGTATGACGCGAGGAATAAAAATTATTTAATTTCTGAGTCCCGACAATCCAATTCAAGAAAAAAAGAAATCGTATGTAATCTTAATATCCAATCGTCACTGTTTGTTTTATCGTTAACTCGGCAGTTCCTGGTATCACCCAGAGGTGACACATCTTTGATCATTTTCTATAAATAGTTCTTTAGGAATTTGAATAATTTGATGTCACCAAACTGTTTCAACCTGTCGTGATCGTACTGAAATGGAAATTTGGCACCACTGCTACTAGGGAATTGTTGCTTTAATTTATTCTAGATGTCTTACAGCAAATTCGTGCATCGTGCACTTCGGCTCTTTATTCTTACACAAATTTTAAGATAAAGAAAGTACAAATAAACAGTAGCTTCTTTACTGAATGATCAAAACTGCAAATAATTCATTAGTAATTGTCATTTTGGTAATTAATAGTTAATAACATAGATTTTAGGCCGTAAGTCAGTAGCGTTACGAAATGAGAGCGGACCCGCCCGCAAAACTTTTATATGGGTTCCCCTTTATCAAAGTGTATAGCAAACGCAAGTACTTTTATTATCCCCTAAAAGTAGGCCCTTTTTAATCTGGGACCGTCCGTATTTCGGGCCCGTACGTTACAGCACTGAATTGATAAAAGTGTTTTCAGAAAATGAACATACTATAGTTTCCTCGTTTGAAAGTATGGTCAATTCTCTATTGTTCTACACAATACTTACGTGTAGAAGGTTGGAACTGACTTTCTTTGAACCCTTCTTCGCGCAACCAGTTCCGCGCAGGGGGAACTGTTAATTGTCCTTCACTTGAACACTACCTCCATTTGAACAACATTACTAGTGGTCCTCGACTTGATGGACTTGCTTAGAATCTCCCACTTGATAGACTTGCTTGGAGATCAAGAGGATAATCCCCGCGCAAGTTGATCACGTGGAGGATCACTGAGCAAGTCGATCATATGTGGGATCCCTGAGCTAGATATTCAAGTGGAGGATACCTGAGCAAGTGGGGGATCCCTGAGCAAGTCTATCATGTGGAGAATTCACGAGAAAGTCGAGCGAGTGTAGTATCACCGAGCAAGTCGATCAAGTGGGAGATTCCTGAACACGTCGATGAAGATCATAAACAGTATTCCAGGTTGATCGTCTGCTTTTATATGTTTCTTTATTCATCTAATCTACTAACTTCATTTTGTTTCATCTTAACAAGATTTATATTAATATTTCATTAATGTCCATTATTAAGTGTTTCACTGTGTGAATTTGTGATTTTAAGTATTGTTTCTGTGTAATTCTGTGATTTATTCTCATAATTTCTTCCTTTTCGTCAATCGTTCACAAAACGTCCTAAATTATTGTTTTTTTATTACACACATATCAATTTAGATTTTTGGTTTTGTAGCACTGATAGAGGCAGCAAAGCGGCAGAATAAGCTTTATGATGAATGAAAAGTGTTTACTAAAGTTACGATTGGTAATTATTTTTGTAATTTTGCAATTTATTTCAGGGTTTATTTAATATGTAAATCGGCTAAGTTGTGTGTCAGTGGAAATAACTACGAAAACTGTAGCGTAACGAAATGAGCTCGCAAAACTTTTATTCACCCCTCTTAATAAATGTGTTCCGCAAAGACAAGTAGTGTTAGTACCTTAATAAATAAAAATATCTCTCAACAAATTCATATTCCTCAGTCTTTGATTACTACATAAGAATTCAGTGTTTCTAAGAGATTGTAGCAAGCCAACGTAACGCCACTGCCGCAAATCCGGGGTGTTACCTCGAGGTGACACCGGGAGTTGTGCTTGTTTGATAAAGAATCAATGCCATGGCGTGATCTCGGGTGTACGCGTTTTTTTAATTGTATGCGTTTTATTTTTGGTTCCAGTTTAGAAGTGCTTGAGAGTTTAGAAACGATATATGAGCATTACCGAGATGATAATTTTCTTTTGTTACCTCCTGATGTTGCTCTGTTCATCGATGAAGATACGGGTGACGTAACTAAAGAGGACATGAATCATCTGCCCTACTGATTTCTGAACTCAGTAGTAAGTTCAAGGAACGATGAAAGGTGATTCTGGCACAGGGAACTTTTATCAACCAGATGGAGCGTATGAAGAAGTAGTTTAGAAAACATCAATTAAATCTGAGCTTTCGGGCAAGGTACATTACAAGAAGGAAAACTAACTCAATCGCAAACATCGCAAACCTGATAAAAGAGATGACACTAAAAATGGCTGTATTTAATTGGCTGTCCGGGTGACGCCGCGTCCATGGCAAAGGTTCCGACGTTTTGCAGCTATTCTGCAACCTTCCTCAGGGCATTGCGCCCTGGGTAGAATGGCCTGCAGAATGGCGACCGAAACGTCGGCACTTTTCCATGGACGCGGCGTCACCCGGTCAGCCAATTAAATACTGACTCCGGCCGCGGAAGCCTACGCTCTCACTAAAAATGACGAACATTCTTTGAACTCAAATCAAGCATAATGCTTGACTTGTAATGAACTTGTCAAAATACCAGTGAATTTACGTAATGCGACTTTCGAAGGTGATTTCCCAAGTTTACTGCTGTTTGTATTACGGAAAGGAGTGTCGAAGTCTTCCCTACCGGAGCCCCCGTCAAAGGTCGAGAGAAATCGTCCCGAAACCAAACATTCATTACACTTATCTGCAAGAGCACCTGAACCAACAAATGGTTACAAAGATGGCGTATTGAAGCAAATGCCTCCAAATCCAAAAAAAGCATATTTACCCTATCCAAAAAGGAGTGCCCTAAAGTCCAGCTAAACAATGTATACCTAGCACAAGTATCTTGCATTAAATACCTAGGTTTTCATATGGACAAACGGCTTACATGGAGGAACCTTCTATCTGCAAAGAAGAAAGAAGCACAAATCAGATTCCCCAAATTATCATGGCTCATCAACGGCCACTCAAACCTTTCTTTAGACAACAAAGTACTCCTTCACAAAGCAATTATCAGGCCAATTTGGAGCTAGGGAATTCAACTCTGGGGATCCGCTAGCAAATCAAATATAAAAATACTCAGAAGATTCGAGTCAAAATGTATTCGAAGATTAGCCAATGCACCATGGTACGTGACGAATGAAACACTACGCCGAGACCTTAAGATACCTACAACATATGAAGAAATCACTCAGCGCAGCACCACCTACCAAGAGCGGTTAGCCAAACATCCTAATCCATCAGCAGTCAATCTACTGGATAATAGTGAGGAAGAACACCGACTGAAAAGATATCATATTCTGGAATTATCATTCCGTTTCAAACAACCCACATGACGATGTACTCTAACTTCAATTAATACACAATTATCACATTTACTGAATGTTTGTTAAGAAAACAGATTGTAAATAAACATAATAATAATAATAATAATAAAATATAATAATAATAATAATAATAATAATAATAATAATAATAATGTATTTTTAATGGCGAGCGGCTCAGGCCATAGGCCTGCTCTTCCGCAACCACTGATTCCAACATTTAGATAATAACATTTTAGAGGGGAGACAAGCTGTACATTTAACGTCTGGGAGAACAAAAATCTAGGACCATCCGTCAACGCCTTAAGCGATTGAGTAAACCCAGAAAACCTCAATTCAGGAATGGCGCTTAGGCCAACATTGAATAAATGAGTATGTTATACGAGTAGTAAACGGAAGTTCCCGTGAAAGAGAAAGAAAAGTACAGGAAGGTCAAAAAGTATATAATGATAAGTTTGTGGGGAGAGGGAAGAGAAAAAAGCGAAGAAAAGACGAGAAAGAAGTAGGCAAAAAAGTAAGTATGTAGAACGTTTACAGAAAGCTACGTTAGTTCAACAATGACTGTAACGCTCGACTAGCACTGCTCGTTGTGGGTGACGCGGGCGTTGTGTTGCAGAGATGAGACCTGAAGCGGTGGCCAGACTCGGCGCACTGCGCGAAGCAGCCTCGGTGGAGATGGTGGCCGAACTGCGCGCGAAGCTGGCGCCGTCAACAAGGACATGACCACCAGGCGCGCGTCGCCACCAGCGATGCGACGGATCGGGCAGACTACTTAGTCGTAAGAAGTGAAATCCGGGCAGAAAATGGGAAGAATGCCTCTGTTAAAAGGAAAAGAGTGCTCGTGCTAAACGTATTAGCCAGCGTGCTCGTGCTCTATTTCGGGACGCATTGGTAAGGGACTAGTAAGAGGAACTCCTCGCCACAGGAAGAGAGAAGGTTTTCCGAAAGCAAGAACGCGGAAACGGGAGGTCTTCCATCTTAAGAAACGGAGACCCGAACCCTAATGTTAGCATTAGAACGCAGAACGGGGTGGGCGACGTAGGAGTATCCGTGAGCCTCGACTTATATACCGGGAGTGCACAGAAGCAGTAGGTGGTTCTTGGAGACAGTGGGAGAACCTGTGCATTTGCACAAACAGTCTGGCGCACGGGCATCTGCGGGCCGGCTTGCAAGGCGGCGTGTAGGAGCACTGGAGACGACTTTGTGTCCTTGGTGACTGGCGGCACGTGTGCGGAGCGATGCTGTGGCGTGTTCCGAGGTTGAGAAGTGATTTGAGTGGCCACGATTCACAGCCGATTCTCAATCGAGTAAGATCCGCTCCGCGAATCGGAGGAAACCATCAGTTGTTACGCCGTACGGACTTTGTGATTCCAGCTGTGACATCCGGTCACGGAAGGCCTGGGCTTTGTGCGCGCTTCAGAAGTAGGAGTGGCGAATGGCCACAATGCGAAACCGATCATCGATCGGTTGGATGCTCGCGCGTAGGGGATAGTAAGGTCTATCAGAGCTAGGGTGTAAGAAGAAAATTCATTGTAAATATTTGTTGTTTGTTTTCTTTGTAAATAAATATTTGTTATATAGAAAGCTCTGTGCTGTGTTCGCTGTGAGTATCCATGATGCTACACACTCGCAGGGAAACTATACGCTGTGTAGATTCTCATTCATTCGGAGACGTTGATTCCCGCTTTGTGGCTCAGGGCAGCCAGTTGTGACTCTGCCAGTGTCTTTGGACTGGTTGTCGTGAATTCAAGCCCCGGCATGGCAGATTTTCACAACTTAGCTAGAAAGCTGGATCAAGTTTTGTGGCTATGTGGAGGAGAACTCTTGTGCCCGGGTGCTTGCTCTAATCGGTAGTTTTCCGCGGTTTCTCCGATCAACACCCGGCGGATGCCAAACCAGTACCCAGACAAACGGGACACGTACCGCGCGCCATCTTTCCTTCCTCATCCTTGCCATATCCTCACACCTTAGTTAAACACACACACGTACTTGAACATGTTGGAAGACCACTTGGGAGCTTAGAGCCTGTCCTGGTTGGGTGGTGTCCCGCTTGTGGGAGATACCCAGATGATAAAAAATCCCGCAAGACGACGCGTAGGTTGTGTAGATATCGCTGTCGCGACATGGGGACCATCCAGTGGGAGAAGGCCACATCTCGCGATAAAGCATGCACTACACTTGTGGGGCTAATGACATTACCCGTTCAATACGCGCAAGTTTTCTTGGTATTCCATAGCGGGGGGATTGCGGGTAGAGGAGGGATTTGGCTACGTCACGGCTGAAAAGGGCGTACCAGCTGCGGGCAAAATTCGCCAAAGCAGGCCACGAGAAATGCTATGATTGTTTTGAAAGTACGAGGTGGTTGTTGCCTTCATTGTAAATCGGTACGTGCCGTTCCGAGTCAAACCTAAGTATCTCACCGCGCCGTGCTGTTCAGCGCTGAGTGAGGACTAGGGAGCTCGTGTACCAAGAAAACTTGCGCAAGTAATACATGTCCGTGAACACCAATTAATCGGCTCCGAAATATCGCCATTCAGCAGGGGAAGAACACTCTCGTGGACCGTGTACCGGAGCTCGTGAACCAAGAAAACTTGCGTGAGTATTACGTGCCCGTGAATACCAATTAATCGGCTCCGAAATCTCGCCATTCAGCAGGGAAAGAACATGGCCCCTACGCGCAACAAAAATGTGTAATACACTTACGGGACCAATGACCTTAGCCGTTGCCCGGGAACCCTAACGAAGCAGTGTCCGGCGCGCGGGGTTGGCAGGAAGGGGATCACGAAGGTGCGGTCGGAGTTCGACGTGGACACGGAGCACCTGGTGGAGGAGCTGGCGGTGGTGCGCGATCGCCTGGAGCGCGCGGTGGCGCACACGCGCGAGGTGGAGGCGGCGGCGGCGGAGCGGCAACAGCGCATCGACCAGCTGGCCGAGCAGCTCGACGTGAGCAACCCCCACCCCCACGTCTAATAGCGTGTGATGTATTCGGCATATTAGGGTCGGAGGAATCCGGCTTTGGCCAGCTAGCTTCGTACCAGGTCTGGACCCTGTTTTCATTTACTATCCACGGTAAGCCCCCACCCCCACCCCCTCACACGTGTAATAACGTGATAATGATGAAATATTAGGGTGGGGGTTTAGGAGGATCGGGGTGTTACTGTAGATGTTAGGGTCGGAGGAATCCGACTTGCCCAGCTTGCTTCGTCCCATGTCTGGACGAGGCCACCAAGACGTATTTTAGTCACCGAACTTAGCTTGCTTGGCATGCCTGACCTGTTTCTTTTGTCACGCAGCTATAAAAAATGAGACGATCTGTGTTAGAAAGCTACAGCTTCATTTGTGCTCTGGCCGGGAACGGAATCCGGGACCGCCTCAAGAAAGTTAGCAGGTTGTCCATGAGCCACTCGAGGGGCTTAAAAGTGAATATTAATTAATAATTAAAGCACGGTAGTTCAGATATTTACTTTACCTAGAATAAGCATTTAGTTTTACTAAAATAGGAATAAAAACTATAATAAAATCACATTCAAAAGGAATTATTGACAAACATTAATAATTAAAATAATTTACATCTGTATTACACCTCTAAAATACAGATTAGCCCTTAATGTATAAGGAAACGACCGCTTCTTTTGTAACCTTCCACAGGACCATCAAGAATGATGGATTTGAAATTGTTTTCCTCGCGAAGCTGTCTCTTCGAAATGCTATTATGGATTTCCTTTTATATCTTTAAATAGCAT